GGTTTTGTACGATTTCTTGTCTGAAGGAAAGGGAAATAAATGTATAAGATTCACAATGGTAGTAAAAGAATGATTTTTGTATTTGTGTGATTTGCTCAATATTAATTTTGTGTTCAAGTCACTTCTGGGATGCAAACAAGGCAAGCAGCAGTCTGGCCTTGAAAGAGAAACAAAGTATCTGTCAGTTCGGGCCAGTTCTTAAGTGAACCAAAATGGAATTTTGGAAAAGGGAGAAAAATACTTATCACAATACTAATTAAATACAGGACACTCCAGCATGGCCACTTTAGAAATAAGAAAACAGTCTTTAAGAAAACTTTTTGAATATAAAAGTCTATGACTAAAAGAGAAACTATTGCAAGCTTAACTCTCAGTGGTATATTTAAATATCTAAACAACGGTGACCCACCATGAGTTACAAGTTGGCAGTGCGGTTACCAAGTAGGCTAATGCAGAAGCAGCCTTCATCAAAGTTTGTGGGATAGCTCTCAGAGGGAAGTAGTGGCAATTCCATCTCTTGTGTCTTTTTAGAAGTAGATGAGATAAAGCACTAGCAAATGTTCTGTATGAAACAGTCTTGTGCGGGATGGACTGGGTGACCAAATAAAGCACTTCCATCTCTAATATCTAAGACCATGCACGCACACACCCACACCGATACCCTAGGATATGAGAGCCTGCATTTGGTGAGAAGGGGAATGTTGGCCAAGATACACTGTTGGAAAAGTGATCTGGGAATCTCTTATGTTGGTCTGTCATACCCCCTGCCCCTTTGTCTGTCTTGTCTATTTAAATTGTAGGTTTTTCAGGATAGGGACTATCTCTTATTATGTTTTGCATAGGGCCCAGCACAATGGGGCCCAGATCTTGGCTGTAGTCTCTAGGCACTATAATATAAATTGGGGGGAGGGAGGAGTCAATAAGAATGTCTCCATTGACTAAAGGATTCTTGGATCAGGCATTCTATGACAGCATTGATCAGAAATCCCCTTCCTTCAGACTGTCACAATTTTTGTGGATGATGTGAATCAGCTGCATTATCATCATAAAATTACACAGATTACTATGCTATAAATACCTACTAATACTACAGGAAACTCCTTTGGGGCAAAAACTGGAAAAAAGATAAGTCAGACAAATTGTCCTGTGCTATTCTTTGATATTGCACAGGTAATTCATGCCAAAGCTGTAAGTGTAGGAGGAAGTCAAGCCAGCAGAAAAGTTTTTAGATGAGTTTATAATAATTAAATTCAGACTTCCTTGTGACTGGCTGGCTGCAAATCTTTCCCCATCTTGATTTTTGTGCTAAATTTACAAGCTCATAAACACCGAGTAAATAAAATCAGAAATCGCTTTCTGCAAATATATACACAAACCCTGGAGGAAATGTAAATCACTGGGGTTAAGAGAATTTAAAGTGTGTGTGTGTGTGTGTGTGTGTGTGTGTGTGTGTGTGTGTGTGTGTGTGTGTGTGTGTGTGTGTGT